TTCATTCATTCATTCATTCATTCATTCATTCATTCATTCATTCATATAGGTATTACAGGTAGACCTCTCTCAGATTTGTTCATTTTCTAATCTTCAGTTCTTTAATTGAAATATGCATTGTTAACAGCGGAGTTATCTCTGCCGAGAGGCTGCTTGTCATTAAAATGTGACATTAAAGATTGACTAATCATGACATTGACAACACATGACTTTATTGCAGGCTTACCAAGCAGGATTGATTGGCAAGAATGCATGTGGATCTGGTTATGACTTTGATGTATTTATGCATCGTGGTGCTGGTGCTTATATCTGTGGAGAAGAAACTGCAAGTACCATTAATTATTTGCTGGTTTTTTAATTTCGCTATTTTTGCTGAAAAAAGTCTCTTAAATTTAACCCATGTGAACATGCAAAATAACAATAGAACTCATTGTTTTCCTGCAAAGTTTTTCAACTTAAAACTCAGTGAAATTGTTCAAGGCATCAAAATAGTGAAGTTAAATGTTTGTATGGTATTGAATGTATAGATGCAGTTTGTGACAACTTCTAGCCTGGAAGCTTCCAGTGACATACTGTGAAATACTTTTATTTTTTTAGGCTTTGATTGAAAGTCTTGAAGGTAAACAAGGCAAACCAAGAATGAAACCCCCATTTCCAGCTGATATTGGTGTATTTGGATGTCCCACAACAGTATCCAATGTAGAAACAGTAGCAGTAGCACCAGTAAGTTACTAATTTATTGCTTTTATTAAAAAGTGAGACAAATTACCAGGTATATTTTTGTTTCGAACATAGTTGTTGATTTAGCCACAATTCATCAAGTTAAGCCACTCAGTACAAAGTATTTTTTTTTTGTGAGTAAACTTGAAAACATTGAATACATGCAAAAATGGGCTTTTTTGGAACTATTTCTGTAGGAATTCGTGCTAAAGCATTATTTCATAAAATATAAATAGTATACTCTTGTAATAATATATCACTTTTCATCTGTATTTTATTTTATTTTACCTGTATTATTTTATTTCATTAAAAAAACACCATAAAAATAAAGAGACTTGTGCAACTCTAGATATGTATATATAGTGAACAATATCCTACTAGTATACAGTCAGTCATGAACTTGTAATTTAAGGTTATTACGAAGATACCTCAAAGTATGCACGAAGACAGTACAGCGGCAGTATCGACCGACGCGCAGCGTACTGTCTGAGTGCATACTTTGAGGTATCTTCGTAATGACTTTGTTATTATACATCTTTTCCTACCAAGGATACATCATGGCATCATGGGAATGCCGAAGTCTAAAAAGTTTAGAACAGAGTCAGTGAACTTTTTTGTATGGAGTCCGCTCAAACCCTGGTGGCAGCCGTGTTTGTTTTTAGTCCCCTTTCGGACGAAGTCCGAAAATGGGGACTTATAATTCAGTCTCCGTCCGTCCGTGTGTCTGTGTGTCTGTGCATCCGTGTGTCTGTGCGTCTGTGCATCCGTGTGTCTGTGCGTCTGTGCATCCGTGTGTCTGTGCGTCCGTGTGTCTGTGCGTCCGTGCGTCCGTCCGGAGTCATATCTCAGAATCCCTTGGACCGATTCCGTTCATTCTTTGCATGTGCCTAGTATTTTATGTGTGACATATGCACATGCAGTGATTTAGCGATTTGATTCAAAATGGCCGACTGGCAGCCATCTTGTTTTTTGAAAATGTTGTATTTTGAACATGCTGTGTCAGTTTTCATTCAAACTTGGTACATAGATTAAACATGTCAGGATACATGTTCATGACGATTTATTTCACAATTGGATCAAAGATGGCCGACTGGCAGCCATCTTGTTTTTTGAAAATGCCATATTTTGAACATGCTTTGTCAGTTTTCATTCAAATTCAGTACATAGATCATACATGTTAGGATACATGTTCCCGACCGTCCGTGAGTTCCTGAGTCTGTCCGTCCGTCCCTCCCTCAGTCCCTCAGTCTGTCCAGAGTCATATTTCAGAATCCTGTGGACCGATTCCGTTCATTCTTTGCATGTGCCTAGTACCTTATGTGGGACATATGCACATGCAGTGGTTTAGCAATTCGATTCAAAATGGCCGACTGGCAGCCATCTTGTTTTTTGGAAATGTTGTATTTTGGACATGCTTTGTCAGTTGTCGTTCAAACTTGGT